CCCCCCCCCCCCGCCCCGAACACATCACCCCACCCCCTTCAATTGCACCCCACAAATTTTGACTCCAAAGTCAAAATCAACTTGTGGGGTGCAATTGAAGGGGAGGGGGTGATGTGTTCGGGTCGGGGCGGGTGGGGGGGGTTTACCGGGAGGGTTAGGGGGGTAGGAAACATCAATTTTACGAACGAGGCACCGGAGTGCCCTCGGGTCATCCCATAACATTGGTTCCCAATGTCATGGGAACCTTGCCCATACTACAAATGAGGGAGGGAGATGAGTATTTATACTACGTCCCTAAAAGTTGTTGAAAAAATGTCAAACAGCCTTTTAGACAAATACTAGTCCTTTTTTTTGAATGAAAAGTTTGTTCACCAAACACTCCTAAATCCAACTTTGAAAAACATGGGACAAAAACCATAACAACAAACGATAACAAGAGACCTTGGTTCAAACATAAAAACACAGACAAATCAAACACAGTAGGGACACAGACAAAATGCATTTGCTGGCACATATCCAATCAAAAGATTAGTTTATCCCAGAAAAAAGATGAAAAAATTGTAGCAGATGACTCAAAAGAAACATCCTTTTTCTGGGTTGTGAATTCAACCCACTTAGCTCAACTATCCTGAATTAAAATATTAAATCAGATCATTACAGCTTCCAAATACAGAATGAATTCCAAATATATCAATATCCAGATAACAAACAAACGTCTAACACCGAAAACTTGAAGTTTCACAAAAAAGGCTGGAGAAGTCAGAGAGTCCTCTACGCATCTTCAAGCCGTATAATATGAGTTCTTCTCCTTCTTACCTGTTAGGAGGTAGTAGCACTTGGTCAGCAATTTCTTAGCCAAACAAATCCCATTGAAACAAGTCAACAACCATTTGCATCAAAATCTATAATGCTAATAATAATAATAATAATAATACGTAGTAGTAGTAGTAACAGTAATAACAACAAAATGCCACTAACATAGTTGAAGAAAACACAAATTTTAGCAGTCAAATCAGACACACAAGTCAGGTAGGGCAAAAACACTGCATTATGTTCAACTTATAATTTAAAAGAAAACTTGTTTTTTAAAAAAAGAATGTGCGGCATGTGACGGTTCTAAAGTTTCAGTGCTCTACTTCTAAAAGAAACCAGACTAAATCAATCAATGAGACTAGATCAATGAGAGGGAAAGTGAGGATTTGGTGAGCAAGTTGACAGCCAAAATCACAGTTTGGACTACCAGACATCTTTCTTATGCAGGTGAATATGAAAATTCAGAGTATTTGTAGAAACTTTCTGTGGGGCTCTGCATCTGAATATGAAAAAACCCCTCGTGTGCATTCGGAGGATGTTTTCAAGCCAAAGAAAATAGAGGATAGGTCAAGGATATGGATATAAAAGGGGGGATACATGTTATTACTAGAGAAAAAATATTACAAAATAGAACATGTTCATGGATATGGATGTACAGGGGGGAAATGATACAGAGAAAGGCTATAATTGGCATGTGAGGGATAACAGTGTTATGCCTGGCTACAAAGTTAAAAAGAACAACTTATCTTTTCCTAATCATCAGTTTAATTTGTGACTCGTTTGGAAAGATAAGCTTCAGACTAAAATCAAGTTGGATAAATCCATCAATTTGGAACTGACTTGTTTGTTAACAAAGCAGATGAATATAGTGTTCGCTTGTTTTATCTGTGCCCCTACCCTAAAGCTATACATGAGAAAATCTTTTCCTGACTGAACTACACTTGGAATGCTAAAAATCTGCAGGAGATGGAAGATGAAGTAAACAAGACCAAAGGCAGAGAGAAGAAGATTCTGTATGCAGCTTTTGCTGCCAATTGCTATGATGTTTGGAGGCCCGAAATATTACAATCGAACAGAAAAGGGAGATAAAGAGGAAGACAGGATAGCCTGTAATGGTGATTGTAAACGGTGTTTGCTTGAGTGAATGAAAATGTGTGTTGGTTGAAAAAAGACTAAATCAATCAACATAATACCATCATAAGAAACAACCCCACCCCTAAAAAATGACCGTAAAAAAATCTTAGGATTTAGAAAAAGAAAGATCAAGAATGGTTGTCCTTCCCAATACATACAAATATGGTCCAATCAATCAGCTTGAAAGAAATAAATTACCCTAGAGATATTATTAAAAACATGTTAGACTGTACTTTTCCCTTTTTTTCCTACGACTGAAAAGGCAAAAAAAGTTTCACCTTGACAAAAAAATTGCAGTTGGGTTTCCAGGAGTTGGGGGATTCTGATTCAATAGAGAGGCAAAAGAACCAGCTTTAGAACGAGCATCAGGGTCGGTTGAAGACAGAACCTCCACCTCTTCAACACCCATTTGTCCAAGCTGGAGCCTAATCAACTCCTTGTTCTCCTCCAGAATCTGAATCTCCCCAAACGGAAGCTTCAAATCCAATGCATGAACCCCGAGTTTAAGAGCTTCATCCTTCTTGAATCTCAGGAACGGCATACAGAGTTTCTGTGTCTGTTTGAAGTTTGTGGACTGACCCACACTGCTCTTCTGCAATGCCTCCAAAATTTCCACATCTGGAGTGAAAGCATTTGTATTTATGTCAAACTTGCTCTGAAGAATTCTCAAGCATTCAGCTTGCCATCCATCAAACTGCTCATTCACATATATTAAGCACTTCAACTGCTTGTCCTCTAGAGTATTAACAGGTATGGCCCCCTTTTTCTTGGAACCACCCGAAATTTGTTTCTGGAGAAGCTTCCTCAATAAAACAATGGAATCTTGCAGATATTTGTTGGCTTTCTGAAGGGTTGGGTCGGGGGCATCAGCGGCGGGCCAACCCGAGTTGATGACAAAGCCATCATTCTTCAATAGCTCCCGCCACACGTACTCTGCATAGTGAGGGCATATTGGGGCAATAAGCCGAGTTTGAACATCCATAAAACGCAACACCAAATCAAGATTCATCCCCCCGCTGCCACAAGAGTGCCTATATGCATCCCTGGCTGCTTGAAGATCATAAAAACCAGTCTTCAGAGCTTCACGAAACATGTAATCCTTGTAATTTTTCTCAGTAGTCTTAACAGCAATGTTTATCTCATTTTCAAACACCTGATCGGCAAATGTCGATGAGGTGGGACCTGACCTGAGAGACGATTTAGCAGCCAAAATCTCTTCCATCCATGCAATCTCCTTAGTGAGTCTCAATATTGCGGCATTTGCCGTGTCAAACACAAAATTTGCATCATCTACACCATCACCAGCATCAGCAAGAGAAAATCGTGTCGCATCGGCAGAGAATTCCTCGATGGCCTCACGGAGTGTCCGGAAGACTCCAGTAGACTTTGACATCTTCTCATGATTGAGCATAAGGTGACCATTGCACCTGAAACCTCGAGGCCAATGTTTCTTTGGCATGATGGCCGTGTGGTTGTAAATGCAAAACGTCAAGTGGTTCTGGATTAGGTCTTTCCCAGAGACTCTGAGATCAAAAGGGTACCAATATTCAAACTCATGCTTCATCTTATCAAGAAGTGTGGACGGAATATCAGAATCAGGATGAGGACCGCCACAGAAGATAAAATCCCATACCTCGTCAGTCAGTTGTGCCGGTTCAATCTGGCCTCTTGAGCTTCCATACATGTCTCCCTTTTGCAAAATGTGGGAAATTGTGTAGTACGCCATGTATATGGTTGAATCGGATAACGATTCCACAAGAAATTCTTCATCCCAAGGGATTCGGGTCCCTAGCCCAAAGGAACGAGAGCAAGCCCACTGGTTCAACCAACCAAAAGTGTGCTCAAATCCATGTCGGTTCTCATCAGAGTAAAGACTCATACCAGATAAGCACTCCTCAGCTAGGTTCTTCCATTCAGGTTCCCCATAAGTGATGTACCATTGATCCGTAAGAGCAACAACACATTCATCATCAGATCTGGAAACTACTTTTTTCTCTGGCTCGCTATACATTATAGCCAGTCCCTCCTCAATAAGCTTCGTCTTGAGGAGTGGTTTGACTTCATTGACTTTTCTCCCAGCAAATTCTCCAACAGTCATTATTCCATCTGTGAACCCTTTCAAGTATGTCAACTTCTTGGCTTCCACGAGTTTCTCTTTCTCATTCTGGCTTTTGATTTTCAGATCAAAGCAAACCTTTTCAGCTGCCCTGTCTCCGAGTTCCGGAATGTCAATGATGGGTATGATATCAAAGGGTAAAACCCACTCATCCTTCACACCATACTTTTCTCGAAGGGCCGGTTTAGACTTTAAATCATGGAGAGCCATATAATCATCTGGTGCATCACTAGGAACACTTGTCACTATTCCAGTCCCTTTGTCAGTCAAAATAGTAAGCATTGGAAGAGCATATATAGTGTCATTAAGAGACAGAGGTGATTTTAATGGAAGGCCAATCAGATCACAACCATTGAGCTGAACCAAGCATGTCGGTTTTTGAGGAAACCTGGAAAAATTCTGATAAGCAAGGTTTATGGCTGCCCTTTCTGTCATAATAAACACATCAGTCTCATTGATTTCAAAAGCTCCATATTTCCCATCTGGCAAAACCCAAGCGTTTGTCTGCCCGTACATCGTCTCTGGCCTCAAAGTTGCGGCCGCCAAGAAAACTCTTTTTCCTTCTAAAGGACCAAACTTTGGAGGGAAAGGTCTCAACACTTCCATCTTGATGAGAGTGTACTCTTGTGGTTGAACTCCTTCACCAGTTGCCCTGTCATGATCTGCACATGGCTGGCCATCTCTTGGGCTGTAGATGGTGTACCGGACGTCTTTTACAATTTTACCCATGGCCTTCAACTTTCTCATCTGCCACTTCACGAAAGAATCAAAATATGGGTTCATATCAGTGGTTATAAATGATCTACGCCAATCACATCCCAACCCTAAAGCCTTTAGGTCTTCCATTGCAACAGGAGGAAAGAACTTCAACCATTCATAAGGATTCTGGAATTTTGATATCTCACTGTCCGAAAGACGGAAATCCTTCATGATCTCCCATTGGTACTTTTTTTTACCTGATTTTGCTGCCGCCTTAGATTTCTTCCCCTTGAATTTAGCATCCTCTGTTGGTTGAGATTGTTGTTCTGCGCTTGGTTGATCTTCTACTTGTTCTTCCTGTGCAGGAAATACAGGTGGATTTCCAAACTCTTGGATCTCTCGTGCAAGCTTATCAGCAGAAGCCTTAATGGGCATACCAGTACAATGGAAAGCAAAAGGCAGTAGAACATTGGCACCAATCAATCGGTGGTAAGCTGCTGCAAATTCAAGCTTGGAGAGGGAGAAGGCATGGCCTAAGTGTAGAAAACCATTCATATAAGGAAATGGAAAGTTGCCAAAGAACTTGTTGCCAGGTTGTGGAGGAGTTTCTCCAGGTTCAGCAAAGAATACATTGGATTGGTCCCACCAAGTCCGCACCTTTGCTTCGATTTCCAGGAGACGGTCTCTCCTAGCAAAGCTTTTCCCAGTAGCCGCCTCTGGTGTTGTTGTTGTTGACATCTGGCAGACCCTAAAGATGAATGAGAAATCATTGTTTCAGAACTGCTATAGAGAAGAATGAAAAACAGACACTGAGTCAGAAGCACATATACCTGAATTTGTTGATGAGGAGCCCCTTAAGAGGGCAAATAAGGTTCAGACTTCGAAGAATCTTGACACTGTTTTGCAACCTGAGATAGAATGAAGATGAAAATTACTCTGTGTATGTACAAAAAAGATGGCACTAATATGTTACCAAGCCAACAAATATGACATCATAGGTTCAGTACAAGTGAAAGTACTGATAAGGTACTTATCAAATGAAGCTGATAGGGTTTTCTTTGATCGAAATATGGTATGATCAGACATAGATCAATATATCATATCCCAACCAATAGTATTGCAGGGTTCAACTCTTTTTCAAACTTCTATACCACATAGAGCCCTATTCAATTACTCCACATCGCCTTTTGGCAAAACAGTTATTTCTAAAGGACATATGATACAAAAATAACTCACTAAGATGCTGTTTAAATACAATTAGTAGGAGAGAATTGATTTAAAATACAAACATTTTAATTTGAAAAAAAACTGGGAAAAAAACATTTTTTAAATAATAAAGTAAATTTAAAATATATAAATCTCAAATTCAAAAAAATAAACATGACAATTACTTATCTGAAACGTGAAAACAGAATGTTCACACACATGACAAATATTGAATATTTATAGGGGTAATGGAAAGATGCCTGAAGTAGTGTGTTCGGGAATCAGGGGTGTCAAGAAACACCCAGATTTCTGGATTGAACGGAACCAAAAAAAACTTTTTTTTTACATAATACTCCGTATTTCCAAGAAACATATTCAGTAAAACACGAAATTTGACAAATTTAACAATTCGAGATCACAACCGAAATTTACCCCATGTTATTCATAAGCAATGAGTCAACTACAGAACTACCCAAATAGTTTTAGAAGATAAAATTTAATCGAAGGACATGGCTGGAGATTGGGAGTTCACCTTGGAAAGATGGGATTCGGAAATGGAGCTCGATCTAAGAGGACGAAGGGTGAAGACGTTTCCAGCTCCGATTGAAGTAGACGGGAGCCTCACTGTCTCTGCTGAGTGTTTACTCTGATGGAATAGAAGGATTAGGGTTTTTAACGAGTAAAAGTCATTTATGCCCCTCTTCAAAGTAAACCCCTTTTTTGAGAATTAAAAAAATAAATGTTTGAAGCCTCGGTTTGAAGCTCTGGTCCAGTGAAACTATGATGTAAATTAAAGTGAGTTAAAGCTGATGTGACAGAGAGAGAAGATTTGAAGCCCCAGTTTGAAGCTTGCTTTCATGTGTGGGTCAGCTCACCTAAGACTAGTATTCTTTCATCCGAGAAAGATTTTTTATTACTCCCTCCGTCCCTAAATATTTGCCACATTTGTTATCCCGAGGTAAAATATCAAATTTTTTCAATTCAATTTATTTACATATTGGTATAGAAATAAAAAATAAAATTTACTTATCAAAAAACACATGAAAATTTCTTCGAAATAAGAAGTGTCAAGAATATTTTATTTTATCAAATAACCAATGAAAATGTAGAAATAAATAAAAGTTCCTGCGACTGGTGAAAAAGCAAATGTAAGTGTAAAGAGCTAACTATTTTGGGACGGAGGGAGTACATATTACAAGATTTGACCAAATTTATTTCCAATTCAATTTATTTAATCGTAAGTGTAAAGAGCTAACTAAAAATTCTACAAAATAAAATGTGACATGATTGCATTGTTTTGTATAATGGGTAGTGAAAATAGCAAATAAAGTAAATGTATGAACAAATTTTGACACAGTGAATAACATATTTCAATAGTGTTACAACACTATTCATAGTCCGGTTATGGTCAAATCTTTCGGAAACGGGAAGGATTAAAATATGTTATATATGCATATTAATTAAAATAAAATTTTTCTCTATGTCAAAATATGACATATATAATGCTAAGAAATGTCAATGTATAGTATATACCGTGAGAAAATAAACTTCGTATTAAATACGGAGTATCAACATACAATGTTAATTCGTGTCATTATGCAAAATTTTAAAATTCTCTCCCTTTTTATCAGAAACTATTCACAACTTATGTGATTAAAATATAAATAAATTTAGGCTTTTCAGCTTTACCACATTTTATTTCTCTATATGAACCCAGGGTCAGCTTATAAACAATAATTTCTTTAATTTTTATTAGCTTTCAATTTATACTTTGTAATTGCTCAATCAGCATTTAGAATTCCCCATATTTAGCTTAGTTGACAGCCCAGAGTAATAGTGTTTGAGTATTTTCTTGGGACAATGACGTCAATTATTGAATTTCAAAATGTTAACGTAAAATCATCCATTTGCTGAAGTATTCATACAAATTTTATTAGGGCAAAGCCAGGATAACTCCAGTCTCCATATGGATGACCTCTTGCTTTGCACATATACGTCGAGACGATAATTGTATGTCATCTGTGTGGTCTGTGCAAAGCATGAAGTCACTAATGAGATCATTTAGCAAGGCTTTATTAACATTTGTTTGGTGAAATTGGGAGGTACGATAAAACATGTGTTTTGAAATTTGGGTGAAATGATATAAATTTTGAAATTTTAAACGAACTTGTTTGGAGAAATTCAAACTCATTATTTAATTAGTGATACACGGGAGTGACCGGAAATTGAGGTGGCTGGCGGTGAGAATGTTAGTCGGTGACAATGAATGATCAACTGTTATAAAAGAGGATCAAACTCTCAAATTGATATCACTCAAATTCAAGAGATATCATTATTTAGAGATATCTTGAGATATCCAAATTCATATATTTTATTTTGCTAATCAGTTATCAAACACACCTTTAATGTTTTAATTTGGGTAGATTTGTTGAGGAGGTATGGGTGGGATCCAACAAAGAAAATCTCAAAGCCTTTGTCAATTCCCCCCAATTCCACAAACCTCCATTCCCTCCATCATTCTCTCTCTCTCTCTCTCTGCACCCCCAGGTTCCTCCCATTGAAAGCAAAGCTCTCATCTGACATTTTCTTTTCTTTTTTACAGAGTGAACGTGGAGGGGACGTGTGGGGGAAGAATTATAAACCAAAAACATTTCTTGAAGACCCAACAAAACCCCTCCCCCCCATGTTTTGGGTGTTTCCCGTCCCTTTCAAGATTGGAATTGGACCCCAATTCTGAGCCATGCATGAATATATATGCATTGATATTTTTCCAAGGATCGCAAAACCTAAAATGGGTTGGCGGGTTGGGTTTATTCGAATTAGGGTTGTCTGAGCATTTTCAAGATTCTTGGGGGGGGTGATTTTCCCGGATCTTGGTGCCAAAGATGGCTCTTTTTCGCAAGTTTTTCTACCGGAAGCCGCCGGAGGGGCTTTTGGAGATATCTGAAAGGGTTTTTGGTATGTCTATGTCATTTTCTTTTAATTTGAGTATTTATGAAGTCTGAATTCTATTGTTTTGGTTACCATTTGTTGTAGTCGGATGGTACTGAGGAGAAATGATTATTAAATGCTTTTGATTTTGGACTTTCCTCATGTTTATGTTTGGTTGGTTTTGGAATGTAAGATGAATTCTTTGGTTAATATAATTCGTAAGATGGACTTATGATTAATGTTTAATGAGAAAAATTCTTTTTTCACCATCATTTATGCGTTTTTAGCAATTTTTGAATGTCCTTAACTTAAGCCGTTCTGCCCATAATCCCATGAAAACACGGGGACTAAAATCTCTAACGCTGAGGGACTGAAATTGACACAAGAGCTACACCCAGATGTTATTTTTGGAAATGACTAAAACTACTGAGGCCACATAAATATGGACGAAAATGCAAATTCCCCTTGTATTAATTTTGAGTTCTATACTTTTATTTGTAATATCTATACTGAAGCAAATGTGTGTACTTTTGGATGCTGCATTCTTTGCATTAGTCAGTCTTTAGATCATGGGCCCGAATGGATGAAATGTCGAACGGTGTGGAGTTAATTTATCTCAAAGGAAGAGTATTTGGTAACCTCCGTTTCGTCCAAACAATTAAGTGAAAAAGTAGTGTTTTTTTATTTGGCCAATGAGCAGAATAAGCACCAGAACTGGCTACCGGACGGGCCCCATATAGTTTGCATTATAAGGAGTGATGTATTTAAAGCATATTGTGCTGATGTTTACCATTTCTTTGGCTTAACAGTCTTCGATTGCTGCTTTACCAGTGATGTTCTTGAAGATGACGAGTATGCCCTCTACATGGGAGGCATTGTCCATAATCTGTGCGACCATTTCCCCGATGCCTCATTCATGGTTTTTAATTTTAAGGATGGGGAATATGAAAGTCAGATAGAGAGCATACTCGAAGACTACAACATGACCGTGGTCAACTACCCCCAACATTACGAAAACTGCCCCATACACACAATGGAGACAATCTATCACTTCTTGAAAGCGAGCGAGAGTTGGCTATCACATGGCCCCACAAACATTCTTTTATTGCATTGTGAGTTTGGGGGGTGGCCCGTTTTAGCCTTCATGCTGGCTGCCCTATTGATATTCAGGAGGCAATACACCGGGGAGCATAAAACATTAGACATGATCTACAAGCAAGCGCCTCGTGAGCTTCTTGAATTGATGATACCCTTAAACCCATTGCCTTCACAGTATAGGTACTTGCAGTATGTGTCGAGAAGAAATTTGGGCTCTGAATGGCCACCGCTTGATAGGGCTCTTACTTTAGAGTGCGTCATCATTAGACACATTCCTAATATGGACGGGGAAGGAGGGTGTCGTCCTATATTTAGAATATATGGGCAAGATCCCTTTATGGCTGCAGATAGGACACCTAAGGTTCTCTTCTCCACACCCAAAAATTGTAATGATGTCCGATATTATAAGCAGGTGGTTTTTTTCCTCTTCTTATTTTATTTTAATTTCATATTGCATCTTGTTATGACTTGTTGTTTGGGTTGCTATGCAACTCTATTTGTAAGTTCAGCTCAATTTAACATTTTCAACTTGTTTGGCACACTTTCTTTTAAAAAGTTGCACTAAAATAGAAATTAGTTTCATTCTTCAAACAACACAGAGTACTTTTTGGGACAAAAAAAACAAGTTTTCAATGTACTTTTTGTTCTTGGGTGGAGGTGTGTGGATAAAGTATTTTGTTTCTCCACATAAACCATGATTCTCTTACTTTTCTTGTGGTTTTATTGTTTATATCCAGTTGTGACATGACTAGTTAATGTTTTTAGGGTATTATGCTGCATTGTTGAATTAAGGTCTTTAGATAGAGGGTTTTGGTCTTTTGGAGGTGAACAGATTTGAATACCTGGTCTCTTGATAAATACCGAGTACTCCGTATAATGTTTGTAAAACGAATAAAGGGTGATCAAAATGTTAATGTTCACAATACAGAGAAGTGTTTACAAAATAAATAAAGGACGACTGATATGTTATAATATCATCACTGATTATGTCATTCCTTAACAGGATTTTTAATGTTTTACTTGTTTCTCAATGGGACTTGGCCATGGAAATTATCTCAATTCTTTGTCGTCCCAACTGGATTAAATTTACGATGATGACAGTTTTGAAATTTCATCCTTTGAAGGTCACTGAAGGGCTTCTAGAGTTAAACCTTGTTGCTATGTATTTCTTTTCTCATGAATTTATATTGTTAACAAATTTCATTCCGCCGTCCCCAACACACTTGAAGTTAAAAATCAAATCATTTGGTTTAGTTTGTTGTAATTAATCAACCCTTTATCAATCGTTAACTAGTTTTTTTTTAAAATGTGGGGAGTAAATGCTACACCAGTATAAACATCAATGGTAAAACATCATTACATTACCTTATGGAATGTCTCATATTCATTTGCAGACAGATTGTGGGCTCATCAAAATTGACATCCATTGTCACGTACAAGGGGATGTAGTGCTCGAGTGTATCACCCTACAGGAACAGGACGATGAACTTGAATGTGAAGAGATGATGTTCCGTGTTGTATTCAACACTGCATTTATCAGATCAAACATTTTGATACTTAACCGTGACGAAGTTGATATGCTATGGGACGTGAAGGATCAATTCCCTATGGACTTTAGAGCAGAGGTATATATTTCTCTAATGTACTACCCCTTTGTCCCATAAAAAAAGTCCATTATTCCTTTTGGGCCGTCCCAATGTTTTTGTCCAGTTTCCTTTTAAAGCAAAAGTAAAGCACAATAATGTCTCATTCACCCTTGTTTCCCCTTCTAAGGGGTTATTTGGACATTACTTCCCCCTTATTCCCATGTATTTGGTCCATATGCTAAAAAGAAAACGGATGAATATACTTCAAGTACTTTTTCTTTGGAACTTAAACTAAATTATCACATTATACTTTTTATTACTTTATTTTGGTAAATGTTGCGAAAGATTAATTGTTCATTGCTAATGGTGCTAAGAGTCATTATTGACAATGATTTAGCTTTGGATATATATAATGGACTACATCAAAATGCTACATTAAACTCTGTCTGCCTCTTAATTAGTGCGCCAAGGATCTTTTCCATAGAATTGATCAATCTTCATTTGATCAAACATGACCCTTTTTATGGTATGGACTATGGAGGGAGTATCACGAAACATCATATTTTTTCCCGAAAAACTGATTTCTCTCCTCTCTCTGTTCAAGTGAAGATTCTTTTCTCGGAGATGGATTCTGCCACTTCTTGTGATGTAACACCTACTAGTGTTGAAGAGAGAGAGGGAGGAGGTCTTCCTTGTGAAGCTTTTTCCAAAGTTAGAGAAATTTTCAGCAATGTGGACTGGTTAGATCCAAGAACAGATGTGGCTCAAGATATCCTCGAAATCAGAGCAGCTAACATTCTTCAAGAAAAGCTGGAAACTTTATCTCCCCAGCCTGCAAGAAAGAATACACTCATGAAGAGCGCTTCAAGTTTGACAAATGAAGTGATTGGGAGTTTAATTTGCCAGTCACCGCAATCAAACAAGGACTTCGAACCGAGCTTTCATCAGATAGCTAGTAAACTGAAGAACGGCAGCAGCCATTTCCAAGATGCTATAGAAGGGATGAACTTACATAGGAGTACTAGTAAGAAGAAATTGGAAAGCGTAGTAAGCAATGCTGGAAAAACGGCAGGTCTACTGTCTGACCCATACCAAGAAAGAGTCATTGATAAATCAAGGTCCCCTCCACCCCATGACCAGACTACAATGCCTTCCCTTATTGATCATGGGCAACCCATGGCCATTTCACAAGGTCCAAGCACAAAAAAAGCCGATGCCAAGTCCCACACTCAATCAGAAGTCATGTCTCAGGATGTAACTCAGACTGAAGTCTTTAGGAGAGGTTATAATGGTAATCCGACTCTCACAAGGTACCATGGTGCATCAGCAGTTGGAATTACAGCCCTGTTGCATGATCATGCTGCTGAATTCAATAACAATAGGACTCATATAACAGAAAGCAATTCCTCAGTGGCACTGTCCCCAAGAAACACCATTTTATCATCTTTTTCTGGTTTGTTAAAACCATTGTCTCCTAGTAAATTGTCGGCTTCTCCTCAGCCTCCTTCACCAGGCCCTCTTCCTCCCCCACTTCTCCACCCACCACCTACCAGTGTTGTTCCTGCTGCTCCTCCCTGTGTACCTCCATCGTGTTCAGAGTTAGTGGAGTCGATCCGGACAGCTATTTCCAGACCTTGTCCGCCTCCCCCACCACCACCTTGCCAAGATTCAGCTCATCCACCACCACCACCTTGCCCGAAATCAGCTCATCCACCACCACCACCACCTTGTCCAGGATTAGCTCATCCACCACCACCTGCTCCTTGCCCTCCACCACTACATTCAGCTCCACCACCAGCCCCTCCTCCTAAGTGCTCTACAAATGCTGCACCTGCTCCACCTCCACCAGTTTCTTTGAAGGGCAGAACGGATGGGATTGTAGCAAGTGGTGGTGCAAGTATACCTCCACCTCCCATCGGGGCAACGAAGGGGAAACTGCAGCCACGGACAGGTGTTAGAAATCAAGCTCAGAGCAAAAGGACGCCTTTGAAACCATATCATTGGTTGAAGTTAACAAGAGCAATGCAAGGAAGCCTATGGGCTGATGCACAAAAACCGGAGGAAGCTTCCAAGTACTGACTTTTTCTTCTTTTTAATAAAAAATTCCTTTTTTGTGTTTGGATTAAAGACTAATTTGGATTCTTTCCAGAGCTCCTGAATTTGACATCTCTGAACTTGAGAGTCTATTTTCAGCAGCTATTCCAAATTTAGATCATGGGAGTGCTGGAAAATCAAACCGCCGTGCTGCAGGACCCAAATCTGATAAAGTGCAATTAGTAAGTATTCAAGAAACATTTTACCTTTTCAACCTCATTCTGCTCCAGGTCCTTAAGTATGAATATCATATGCATTTAGTAATTAATTAGAAACAGTAACCAAGGAAATTGACAAATCTTAGAAACTTTGACAGAAATAGGGATATGTATTTCCTTAAAACACAACCTCCTCCTCGTTGTTGTTATTATTATTGTTTAATTATAATAATAATAATAATAATAATAATTTTTTTGTGTGTTTATCACTGTTTTTTCCCTTTAATTTGCAGATTGACCTCAGAAGGGCATACAATTGTGAGATTATGCTTACAAAAGTTAAGATTCCTTTGTCAGATTTAATGGTCAGTATGCTGAATTTTCACTCCACATTCCTTTCTGTTGCTGTGTTTCTGGAAGTATTTATGCCTAGTTTTACGTCTTTACCATGGTGGTAACAACTGAAGAAGCAATTAATATAGAATATTGCTGCTTTGACATTCATACAGCAAGGCAGCAAGATGTATTTTATATTCTTATACCCTTTGTTTGGATGGTATCAGAAAATGATAGGAAAGAAAATGGCGAGAAAATGAAAGTAAAATAATACGTAGTAGTTGTTTGGATGATGAGAAAATGATGAGAAAAAGTGAGAAGAAAGAAATGTGAAAAAAAGACATTTTGTCCTTTTTTAAATGGATAATGAGAGATCAAAATATGTTCAAAATTGTAATTTCATTTTTTCTCTCCCTAATATTTTTTTCTCACCACATGAGATGATAAAACTTTTCAACTTGGACCCACCTACTTTTTCTCTCATCTCCTCATTTTCTTATGTAAGCAAACAAGAGAAAATACATTGAGAATTGTGTTTTCTCATTTCACATTTTCATTCTCACCCACTTCTCACCATCCAAACAATGGCATAATGTCAATTCTCTAGGAGTATCTCCTCATGACTTAACAAATAATATTCAGCATAATATATTTAAGACTGAAATTTGCTCTTCATATGTAATATGTATATAGCTCAAAAGCATTTTGGGATGACTGATATTTAAAGAGTAACTGCTTTTTTATCGGAAGAAAAGTATTTTTACCCTTAAAAGGAGTGTTTGGCAAGGAAATGATGATCCAACAAATGAATTAATGCATTTTTTATATGAATGGTCAAGTATATGATGAATATTGCTCTCATGCTATGGCCTATTCTGTCAACAGAGTTCGGTTCTTGCTTTAGATGATTTAGCATTGGACACTGATCAGGTTGATAATCTAATCAAATTTTGTCCAACAAAGGAAGAAATTGAACTTCTTAAGGTGACAAACTTTTCTGAGCTGATTTTCTATTTACACACTAGTTTCCATTTTGCAGCATAGATTAAAAGTGTGACAGATTTACCCCTTTTTTCTGCATTCATTTGCAGAATTACAAGGGAGATATGGATAACCTTGGAAAATGTGAAAAGGCAAGTTGTTTCTATGGCGCTTACGTTTTATATACTTCATACTTTATCCCCTGCATACTAAAGAATTGAACTCATGGATCTTCCTAGTAAGTCGCAGCAGTCGTCTGATCTGTGCACTTCAACCATTTAAGTGACAAAATGCTCATACCTAAAAGTGTTCATTTCTAACAACTGATGTTTATTACGGAGTACTACTATATAATTATAGACTAAATTATGTACATAAAGACAGTTTAATATTTGAACGTAGACTGGAATGATTTTTTCAGTCATATTACGTTTAATATTTTGCATAACTCTCATATTTCGTTTATGTTGCTGTCTAGTCTCTACCTTTATTGGGTTGCTGTTGTAAATCGGGATCACATATTTAACATAATTTTTATTTTAAATTCGGTTCAGTTTTTCCTAGAGCTGATGAAAGTTCCAAGGGTAGAATCCAAGCTCAGAGTCTTTTCCTTTAAAATCCAATTCTGTTCCCAGGTCAGAAGAAGCTGCATCCTGTTATCTGCTATATTCTTTTCATAATTTTTGCATCCTATTGTACTTTTCTAGTTCTCAATATATAATTTTCTTTCAGGTTTCTGATTTAAGAAAAAGTTTAAATATTGTGAACTCTACTGCTGAAGAGGCAAGCTCTTATGTCCTGTTACCCAGTCCTTCTGCAATAAAACTCGCTGCTAAACAGTCTTTTTTTTGCAGGTCAGAAATTCTGTTAAGTTGAAAAGAATTATGCAGACAATTCTATCCCTGGGGAATGCTTTGAATCATGGGACTGCAAGGGGTAAGTACAACATATTATCCATCATGTGCCTGCAATGTGTGTTCATAATAAAAATGAAAAGAAAAAGAACAGAAATTGCAGATTAAATTAATTTCCTCAGCCATAGTAATGATTGATTATTTATTACACAACTAAGATTAAAACAATCTTTTACACCTTAGGTTCTGCTGTTGGATTTCGGTTAGATAGTCTTCTAAAGCTGACCGATACACGTGCTCGTAATAACAAGATGACTCTAATGCACTATCTCTGTAAGGTACAACATAGCATTTCATAATCATTTTTTAATGTGTTATGACTTGGAATTTTCCCTCATTTCATTTTTTTTAAAAAATGTGTTATAGTTTTTGATCAATTTGCCACCCATTTTGATCAATAAAAGATTTTACATTGAAATGCCTCTATAGGTTCTTGCTCATAAGCTACCAGAAGTAATGGATTTTCCTAATGACCTTTTGAGCTTAGAGGCTGCAACAAAGGTGCAAACTTTGCAGTTCTTCTTTACATTCTTGTTTCTTGTTCAATATTTCAAATTACTGTGCACACTAATTATGTTTCCGGATGATTTCTTTTTAATGTGCAGATACAACTAAAATATTTGGCAGAGGAAATGCAGGCCATCAGCAAGGGGATGGAGAAAATTCAACAAGAACTCACTGCCTCAGAAAATGACGGCCCTGTGTCCGAGAGTTTCTGCACCGTATGTCTTTTATGCCCTCCATTATTCTATACATGCCATTCGTCCACTTTTATAGTTAAAAAAATTACACAAAAAATTTTCCAAAAAAAAAGAAGAAAGAATCATTTCTCTACCGACTCTACTGACATGCTATAAAATTCTCAGACATTAAAGAATTTTCTTAGCTACGCTGAAGGTGAAGTGAGATCTCTGGCTACCTTGTATTCTGGAGTGGTAAATACTTGTCCCTGTTTTTTACTCTCTAAGCATAGTTTTTTTTGTTTTGTTTTTGTTTATGCCTTTGGTTGCTGGATATGAACACTAAATCTCGTGTATATCTTTTAGGGAAGAAATGCTGATGCTTTGGCTAACTATTTTGGAGAAGATCCCGCCCGTTGCCCATTTGAACAAGGTAGTTCTTTGATCTTATTCTTAGCATGTAGGGGGACATGATTCGATCCGGATCCTTGAGGTTTCCAAAGGATGACCCAAATTAGTGAAAAAGAAGACACAATTTGCCCTTTTATGATCCTAATTCGGGAGGAACCCGAGGGTAGGGTGCATTCTTATGTACTGCCTGCCCTTTACACACATATTCAAAAGTGGCAATTAGAGGACTTTCTCTTAAGCTATAGTAACTCAAGAAGATGGGGGGTGCAATTCTTTGTCATTCGGTTTTGTATATAAGCCAGCTATTTCTCATTTTTATGTCCCCATTGTTTTCTTTAGTTCATTCTTCTTGATGATTTCTATCATATAATGACTAATGAAAGTGAGAATGCATGTTTCTGCAGTTGTATCTACTCTGCTGAATTTCGTGAGGATGTTTAAAAAAGCTCACGAAGAAAACTGCAAACAGCTTGAATTTGAAAGGAAGAAGGCTGAAAAGGAAGCAGAAAACGAGAAGGCCCAAATAAACGCTTCGAACCAACAGAAGGGAAATGAAAAGATTAGGAAGAGTAATTCCTCCATAGGCACCGCCGCGGAGCACCATTTGATAGAAACAACATAGAGCACATATTCCTGTTGGTTTGAGTCCATTCTTCGACTGTTGCAAAATGCAAAGGTATATGGTGACTTGAAAGAGAGTTCAGCCAAATGGGAAGATAAAATACCACTTGTTTCGCACAAATGAAGACCATGTTTTCTATCGGTACGCCATCTTGATCTTCCAAATGAAGTTGACTTTTATAGCCGATCCTTTTTTTTTGGGACACAAAAGTTTTTGAAGTGCGACTTAGTTTTTTTGGGGGACGGAGGGAGTATATAATTTATAGCCGGTTAGGGAGTGTCTAATTCTGGTTCCCGTTTCTTTGGGAGCCACCGGGCCAATGCGGGACCCACATACGTGAGGATTATCGCGCCTCCCAACCTCCTTTGCTTTACTATCTGTCTTGTGATTATGACAGACAATGTATTTTCTCTGCTGCTGCTTCTGCTGCAGATATGGAGTTGCGAAGCGACGTAGGCGCGGGCCCCACACGCGAGAGACTGTTTTTAAGGATCGGTCAATGTAAGTAAATACTTGCTCCAGTGTTGGTTAGAGATTTGAACTAGTCCCCTGATGTGTGTTAGCATTTCATTTCTGGTTTGTAAACTGTCAAAGTGGTTTTAGGTGTAAATATTGTCAAAGCTGGTGTGTCTCAAATCCCCATTCTTGCATTCTCTATATTTTTTTATTGCCTAAAAAAGGTTTCATCTCCTGAAGGAATATATTTCAGTGGTTGAATGTTGTCTGGTTAACACTTTGTGAAGTTTGATGTAATATGTGATGTACTATTTATTAACACGTTTGTTCAACATTGGGGAAGAGAATCAAGAGATCATCTCTAATACAGAGTATTGTGATCTTAATTCACACTCTCTCCGTTCAAAAATTATTTTACCCGTTGCGCGTTACGATGTTTAGTTGAAGTTGTTTTCATATCATTTTATATGAAAAAATGGTGTTGATTAAAAAATAGAAATTGTATATTTAAAAATCACATTAAAAGATCTACAAAATTAAAGGTTGTACAACTATATTATTTTATTAAATGAAAAATAAAAATAGACTAACAATGTACATAGAGATTGACTTGTGAATAAAGCCCGTGAGAATAGACTAGCAATGTTATTTAGAGGGCATAAAAAAAAAGAACAAAACGTTTTTTTATAGAGCCATGCTAGGGGTACACCAAATGTGTACCCCATTTGTCCCCCACCCCCTTCTTCACCATTCATTTTTATCTACTTTTTATTTATTTAATTTTTTTTTAAATTTTTTGCCCATTTTTGTGGTAATGGAGGAGGTGGGGGACAAATGGGGTACACCTTTGGTGTACCCCTAGCATTTTTTTTTTTATATTGAGATTCAATGTCATGTTCACCTATGATACTTTGAAAGATTTAAAAGTAATTTTTACGTCTCTATTTGTTTATGGCACGATTAATGTGACATTGGCTTCTAATGTCATAGCTTGATTCAAGCATCCTACGGGCTCCGTTGGTAAAACTAACACTTCTATATTAAATTGCATGTTTATTATTTACATATTCAAATTTCATTAACTTTTTTTTCTTATTTTTGTTAGTTATTTAATAAAATAATATATTAAATAATATAATCATGTCACCATTAGTTTTGTAGATATTTTGATCTAGTTTTTAAATATGTTATTTTTATTTTTTAATTCTACATTTTCATATAAAATGATTTAAAAATAATTTTAGTCAAACATCGTAAAGTGAAAGAAACTATTTAAAATGGTTGAGAGACATATGACCCTAGCAATTTCCATTCCATATTTGTTTATTCCTGGAGGAAAACCGCAGACATAATCGAAATGAGCTGTAAATGGCAGAAATGGCGGCGGGTACTGGTCAGGTTTCAAAATTGTTACTCCCTCTCTCCCAAATTATTTGTCACATTTGCTTTTTCAACAGTCGCGAGAACTTTTGTTTATTTCTACGTTTTCATTGGTTATTTGATAAAATAAAATATTCTTGACACCTCTTATTTCGAAGAATTTTTCATGTAGTTTTTTAATATGTCTTTTATTTTTTATTTCTTTACCAATATGTAAATAAAATGAATTTAAAAACTTGATATTTTGTCTCGATAATAGAAATGCGACAAATAATTTAAGAGGGATGGAGTATTATTATGAGGTTTGTTACAACAATTAAAGTCCCATGCTCAGCTGCGCTCATGTCCCATGCCGCACCAACCAACCCCCACTTTATGTTTTTGCCCAAACTCCCAATATGTTCTTCCATTTTTGTTCATATATAACAAACTTTTAATTGTTTTACTTTATTAAATTGAAAAAAAATGAATGGTAGAATATATTTTGTAAACATCTCTTCTATGCTTACGATCACAAACTTTTGTTTCTGACTAAATTGATTTCTTAATATGATTTTGTTGGGATTTCGCGTGCCCTCACTCCAACCTCGCATTAGTATGATATTGTCCGCTCTGAGCCAAGCCCTCACGGATTTGTTTTTGGGCACCTCCCAAAAGACCTCATACTAATGGGGTTGGGTGAACCTATATATTTTGGTCCGTTTTTTTTTCTCCCTCCGATGTGGGACTTGGAGGAATCCACAACAAACCTCCCCTCAACCAAGGACCACACAATTTCCGACCTCCCCTCCAGCAGTAATCCATTTTTCCTTTTATTTGTTAACCATCTAGCACCGCCGCACACTCTTTGCGGGACGCGCCGCCCGACCTCCTGTCGGAAAGACTTTTGACACAAGGCTCGAACCACAAATCTCTCTTCCTTCGCTGGGCTACACCATTTGATCCGCCAAATCATCTTGTACTGCCGTGGCTATAACTTCACGGGACACGCCACCCGACCTCATCTCGTCGGGAAGACTTTCGACACAAGGCACCACCTGCAGATCCACTTTCTTGATCTTGGTCCTATTGTTACACCGTCACACCGAAATTTTTCCACACTACACAGCCCGCCTCACGCCCGCAAGAACCTGGGCTCCGATACCACATGTTGGGATTTCGCGTGCCCTCACTCCAACCCCGCATTAGTATGATATTTTTCCGCTCTGGGCCAAGCCCTCACGGATTTGTTTTTGGGCACCTCCCAAAAGGCCTCATACTAATGGGTTGGTGAACCTATATATTTTGGTCCATTTTTTCTTCTCCCTCCGGTGTGGGACTTTGAGGAATCCCCAACAGATTTTAGAGTCATATTGACCAAAATGTCTCATATAAGGTTTGATGAAGTAATCACGGTTGCAAATGAGGATAAAAAGTTTTTCGTTACGTTTGGTTTAAGGAATTTGAAGGAGGAATACGATTTTATCTCATTGTTCTAACCAAAATGGGGGAAATATGGTTTTCCATACATTTATTTCTTCATCTTCTTTTCTTTTCACTTTCTTCTTCTTTTCTCTCTGACCAACAAGAAAAAAATGATTTTCCTCTCATTCTCTTTTCTGTTGTTTTATAAATTTCGTGAATCAAATATAACGTTCCTAATTCTAAAATGAATAAAAAAATATATTTTTTTAAATTTGTTAAAAAAATGCCTAAGTTGAGGCAATGGGGTGCATCACCAAATTTAAGTGTTCAATTTGACACTAGTGCCCATTCCACCAATTTGCGATCAAAGTCCAATTTACCTCCTCGGAGTGTCCGTCGGGCTGGGTTTGAGGGGGATCTCGGGGATGGGCCTCGTCCTTCCAAAATCTGCTCTATTTTTTTTGCCCTCTTTCATTATTTTACTGTTTTTTTCTCTAATCACTTTCTGGCCATTAAATAAATACCCCAGGAATAATAATTATAATTATTTTACTTGGTGTTCATTTCTGGGGTGCATTAGCATTTTTATCATTTTACCCCTGCAAGTTTGTTATATCTTTATACTAGGTTGTTATTGTTAATTGCTACCACAAACACTCATTGTGTGACCATTTTGTCCTCTTCATTGTGGTGTTATGTTACCGTTGTTGGGGGTAACGCTACTTTACCCTCAAGTTGACACCATGACTACCACCCATAGACGGTCATTATTTGTGAGAAATTATTGTTTATGAAACGTTGTCGGCGCCAAACTTAGTGTTGGTGTGAGTGTAGTATGGTCCCTGTTGTTGACGGCGTCAAACTTACGTGTTTCTTGAGGACTTTTTTCTTTTGAGCCACTTAGTTTACTTTGTCCATGTTTCCTGAAAACCGTCTCTCTTCTTCCGAGTACAGGCAAGGTCTGCATACACACAGACCCTACTTTTGTGGGATCTTGCCGGGTTTGTTTGTTTGTTGTACACGTGTTGGTATGCATGCAGCCATCCTAACTGCTCTCGACAGGCTTATAAATTATTCACACCTTTGTTGCTCAATAATTGGGTTTGGGAGGAATTAATTGGTCTGTTCCCCCACCTATATGCATGCACCCCACTCCTAACTCTGCAGCTTGTGTGAAGTAAGGGTCCGTTTGGTACACGAAATTGATGGAACTGAAATTAGATCAGAAGTTCATATTCTATATAATTGATTTGGATGAAATTGAATTCTCCAATTTCATTTCATTTTTGGCACTACCAACCCCAAATCTAGATACTTTTGTGCTACCAAATAGCAGAATTGAAATTCTTGTCTCCAACTCCAATTTCATAGTTTGAATTCTGTATACCAAACGGAGCCTAAGTGTTTATAATTACTTATAGAGAAAGGTAAGAAGTGAAAGTTATTTATGAAAAGACAACAATGACCATGTTTTTTATATATTACAGTTTTACCCTTTCCCATACACTTCTCAGTTTTACTAGTCTTGACTGTGAAAGTTAAACCATACTGGTTGAAAAGCCTTTATTTGCACCAAGTTGTGTTGGTGAAATGGTTCAGAAGCAGTGCCATCTATGCACCAAGTTGTGTTGGTGAGGAAATGACCATAAAAAGGATGGGAAAAAAAAGTGACACTATGGAAAAATAGGGTATGTATGGGGTGCTTCTGTCTTTTTACAAATGTGCAATGAATTTATTTAGAGGTCCAAGTTCTCTGTTTCACTAATAATCTTTTACCATTTGCATACATGGACTTTAATTTGTTACACACTGCAGTATTCATAGAATAGGGATATGCAAGAACCACGATCCCGTTGTCCCGTTCCGAAATATCCCGTTCCGTTCGGGACGACAAAGTAGGACAATGTTGTGTCGCATATCGTTCCAAAGTAGGACAATGTTGTGTCGCATATCGTTCCAACTCGTTTCAATAACACGGGATTGGGACCGGCTCGTGCTCACCCATATTCATGAACAATTACATTACTATGCGACTGTGTTGAAAAATACTCAATACTGGTCTTGTTTGGAAATAATATTAATTATTAATATTAGCGTTTTGGATTATTTTTTAATGGTGGAGATTAACCTTTAAAACACTAAAACGTCAAGAAAAACATTCAGTTTTAAGGATTGTGCTACTCTTACTCCACTTTGTATCCCATTTTATACCCAAAAAATTTATCCGGATACAAAACATTAAGTGCAATACTGACATAATAACATTTTGACACTTATATTTTATGCCGGGGCAAACCCTTACAAAATGGGGTAGAAATATAATTTTCGTTCTATGAGAAATTACCCTTGTACTAAAATATCATCATTTTTTTTTACATTTTTATCACAATTTCCCCCAATCCCGACAGTAATAACGATTCTAATGTCAGTTTTTGTAGCCTTTTGTCTGACGCCTTCAGAGGCTGGTCCCATATTATTATGTTGGATAAACTACAACATTTATTTATTATTTAAAGAAATACTAGTATATATTCTCCCTCACAACTTGCATGTTTTGAGTTTTAGCCAAATTAAAGAAAGTACTCCGTATAATTTTAATTGATTTTCTAATTTTTTTTCGTGATGTGATAGATAAAAGTAAAATGTAATAGTTTAATTATTAGTGAAAAAATATGATGTGATAGGTGTGGTATGAAAAAGTAGGAGTAAAACTGGTTTTTTAATAAAAAAATGGAAGTGTTTTAAGGAATTAGAAAAAATGAAAGGATAATGGTTTTAAGGAACGTACGAAGTAGTAAAAAGGGGCAGAGATTACCACCGTATAGGATTAGTTTTTTGTTGAACTTACCGGACATAAAAAAATATGAGTATAAAAAAGAGTAATTATAAAAAACATGAGTAATTATTCTTTAATTATAAGATATTACATAAATGATCTTTAATTTTAAAAAATATTTATAAATCATCTTTTAGGCCAAATATGACTATTTTTTTCTTTCAGAAATAGTCCATGAAAGACCAATTATATATAGAACAGTTTTCAAAAATTGAAAATCATTTATATAACATCTTAAAATTGAGGAATTAATATGAAATAGTTTTATGGAATAGTTTTCATAACTTTATTAATTTATACTCCATCCATTTAGATTTAGTTCACTTTCATTCTTTGTCTAGAACTAGTTTTCATATTCAATAATAAAAATTGTGATGAATTACCGAAAATATCTTTTAAGACTGGGTCACCTGTGTGAGAACTCATTTGAAAAGCTTATTTTACTCAATACATTTTAAACTCATTACTAAAAAATGACACTGTTTCTTAACTTCACCTAACTAATCCTAGGTCCTAACCGTTGACCTAGAGTAGCTTTAGTCAACCTCACCACACTCCCATTTAAGGCTAGTGGATATTTCTTCCAAAATGATTTTTCCATTTTGATTTTTTAGAAAATTTAAGAAAAAAAATATATTTTTGTGTTGATTTTCCAAAAATATCCTTAATGTGATGTGTAGATTCTTAATAAAAATATATAATGTAATGGATAGAAGAAGAATTAATAATGATTAAAATCATTTTTTTATAAAAACGGAAATGATTTCGTAGGATAGGTAAAAAGGGATGGAAAAGAGATTTTTTTTTTGAAACGGAGGAGGGAGCATAAGAAATGAACAAGTTGTTTACTTTCCCAAATAGGAAAAAAAGTGTGAATTCCAAAATGACTGAAAACCCCTATTTGCCATCCTATTATTATACTCTCTCCGTTCCACAAAACCTTTCCTCTTTCGTTTTTTTTGTTTTCCACAAAACACTTCCACTTTCTATTAAAAAACCACTTTTACCCCTACTTTTTCATACCCTACCTATCACATCATACTTTTCCACTAATAACCAAACTATCTCATCTTACTTTTTTCCATCACATCAGGGGCAAAATTGGAAAGTCAACCAAAATTACACTTTTCTTATTTTTCCCCAAAGTCAAAACCGGAAGGGTTTTGTGGAACTGAGGGAAGGGAGTAGTATTTATATACCTCTCACATGCATGCCCTTCTGCCTCCAATCTGCATACAATTTTGGCTATTAAAATTCAAACTTTTTTTAAAAAATTTTCTTTTTCATTCTCATCACTACCATATAAAACAAATCAAAATACAAATAAAAAAAAAGAAGATGGGAGGAGCAAGGGGCTTAAAGCAAGGAAAAAAAGCTGTTGGAGGTATGGAATTAATAGAAAAACAGGTTGAGAATTTAAGAGAAAACCATGAGAACCCTGTTTCTGGTGCACATATTAGAAGCCTGGTGAAACAACTGTCTTCTTCTTCTTCTCCGCCGCCGCCGCCGCCAGCACCGCGTAAGAAACAAGCCCGGAGGAGGCTGCACACCACCAGACCGTATCAAGAACGGCTCCTGAACATGGCGGAGGCGAGGCGGGAGATCGTGACCGCCCTGAAGTTCCACAGAGCGGCCAAGAAACAACACAGGCAACAAGAACAAGAACAAGAACAACCTCGGAGGGCGGAGGAGGAGGAGGACAGGCTTGTTCTTCCATTGCCACCACCCCGACCGCGGCGGCCATCAGAGCAAGAACCAAGCCTCTGTTCTTCATGGGTGGTGAATGGCTTTTCCGATATCGCCCCCGCGGGTTTCCGCTCGCCCTGCCTCTTCTTCCCTCCTCCTCCTCCGCCGCCTCCACCGCCGCTCTTCCAAGAAAGCCTCGACTTTCCACTCCCAAACCAGACCTTGGGATTGAACCTGAACTTCCAAGGCTTTGACCATTTGGACGCATCTCCATATCTACCCAGCTGCAACAACCCATCATCAATTCATCAGTCGTCTTCGTCGTCCAATAATTACTGCTCCGTTTCTTCGGGGCTGCATCGCTATCCATCTCTGGACGAGAGGGAGATATCAGAGATGAAGTCAATGGGGGAGAAGCACCAGATGGAGTGGAATGACAGCATGAATCTGGAGACTTCGGCTCTGTGGCTGGAGTTCTTGGAAACCATGGGGGAGGAGAAGAAAGGCGGCGAAGAAGATGGTTATTATGGATGCTATCACCCATTTGATGAAGCCATGGAATTCCCGGGTTGGTTGAATGGAGGAGACGATGAGAGCTGCTTGGAACACGACTTGAATGTCAATTTCTCTGATGATTTTTGCTTCCAGAATCCTGCGGCCTTGCCATGGTAATCGTTTCTCCCTCCCTCTGTTTCCCCTGTTTTGTTTTCTCATTCTTTTTTTAGTTTTATACTCCGTCCCAAAAAGTCTATCACGTTTCGAAAAATTTGCGTCCCTTAAAGTCCGTCTCATTTCTATTAAAAAACCACTTTTAACCTTTACTTTTTCATACCCTACCTATCACATCATACCTTTTTTCTAATAATCTACCCATTACATCCTACTTTTATCCATCATATCAAGTGTATTTTTGGAAAATCAACACAAAATTATCTCTCCTTATTTTATCACTTTAGTCAAAATGTCTCAATCTTTTTGGACGGAGGGAGTAGGGAGTAGTATGTTTATTGAGTTTGACTTTTTTGCATTTGGACAAATTTTGACCAGAACTTTATTATATACTCCCTCTGTTCCCTATAAATCTTTCCATTAGTCTTTTTTATTTGTCTCATATAAATCTTCTCATTACCTTTTTTAACATTTAAAATACCACAACTACTCCCACTTACTTTATTTATTACACTTTTCCACCTTATTTAATACACCCCACCCATTTTCATTAAGGATATTTTGGTAAACTTTCACCTTTTTTCAACTCTCCTTAAAAACCACAAAAAGTCAAAACGAGAAGATCTTAGGGCGACGGAGGGAGTCTTAGTACAAAAATTGTTTAATTAGATAATTCTTGTAAAATATTTTCACAAAATTATTGTAATTTATTACAGAGTAATACATAACATACTACGTAGTACTTTGCACATTTATTTAAGGGCAATTTACTTAAAATGACTAAAACATAATGACTTGGTCATTATCTATTAGTCATTATTCAACTAAATGTAGGATCATATGTTTTTATTTTTCTCAATGTAGAACCATTGGTCATTATCTATTTGTCATTATTCAACTAAATGTGTAGCATTACTTGGACATTATTATTCTTACTAGTCATTATTAAGTCTTATTTAGGGAATAAAAAAATTTAAGTCCTACATTGAGAAATGACTTATATTTTAGTCCTATTCAGTGTAAATTTTACTTTATTTAATTGACGAGCAAGGTAAGCAATTCTTTATGGGATAGAGAGATTATTATCATTATTATTATTATTATTATTATTATTATTATTATTATTAAGGGTATTGCTAAATCCACTCTTATTTTGGCTAAACCTACTCCTTTTATGAGCAATGACAATTTTGCTCAAAGGTTGACCTACATCTAAATTTTCTCTTTTGTCTTTGAAGGGTAAAATTGTCAATTTAATATAAATCGAGTGGACATAGCCAAAATGGTGGTGGCACCCCTAATATTAATTATCACTGCAGTTTTTTTTAATACTAATTTTGGGTGTCATATTATCACTATCTAACCCCCACAAATTCAAACTAAAATTTCACCAAGTGCATTGTTTTGCTTTTTTCGTGCCGATAACGTGTTGTGAAATTGGTGTATCTCATTTATTACTGGTAGACATATATATATATATATATATATATATATATATATATATATATATATATATATATATATATATATATATATAGATACATACATACAAATAGATGAGAACAAATTTATGTATAGATAATAACAAACTTTTCAAAATAACCTAAAGAGATATATATGATATATTTAATCAAATGTATTTTTAAAACCTTATTTTGTTAGTTTGTGAAATTCCATGCCGAAAATGATGCAGGCAAGGCGGCATTTTTTTATCAACATCTTTTCTGAACCTTAGCAATGAGGAATCCGAGATTTTCTCCTATTGGTTCTTTGTTGTGGCAGGGTTTTAACAGTTTTTATGCAAACCAAATTTGGGCATGACCCCCCCNTCCGGGTCATGACCCGATCTCAAATCCAGTTTCGTTTATTTTAGGCGGGTCCGTACCCGTCCATTTTACCCGTCGGGTCCTTTTTAAATAGTACCGGGGAATATTGACTTTTGTTCAAATGACAGCACACTTAAAGTGATATAGGGTATATGAAAAAAGGATTAATATATCTCAGGGTCATCTTAGGTATTCCAAAGCAGTTACTTGAGAGTAGATAAATGAAACTTTAATCTCAAACCAGACGTAACAAGAAGTGAGATCTATCTCTAGCCGTCCCAACAATGACTTTATGCCAAGCATAAGAGTTCCACACCGCTTCCGCTAGGATTCGAATTTGGCCAAAATGCCCTTTTGCACCTCTTGTTGACACATACTCTGTAGCATTTACATAGACGTTGTGTTGACTGTGATTGCGTCCTAGTGTAAGTTTATTTTGTTAGCTTGCGGCAAAAAAAATTTCAAATATTGCAAAACCATATTTCACCTTAAATTGTGGCAAAAGACCTCTTTTACTCTTATTTATTTATTTTGTTTGATTATATATACATTTATTTATGTATTTTTTGGTATTTTAATGCAGCATTGAGGAAATTCAAGGGAATGAGGTGGAGTGGCTAACAGGAGAGGATTGAGTTGATTATTCTCATAGTCATTTCACAATCAATATTTTCACACCAAATTTTGTTTGTAGGCTCTTTTGTTTTGAGTTTTTATATGTTTTGGCCTCTTTAGTTTTCAAATTTTGCACCTCAACTTAATAAGGGCTTTGGTGAAATTTTGTTCCCCTTCTGATGTAGCACATTTGTTAATAAAATAAAAATTGTGCAATTATTTGATGGATATTTATCCACGAAATGCCTTCCTCTCTTATAGAGTTATAGTGGAAATGTTATACTCCCTCCGTCCTAATTTATAGTGTCTGTTTCGATTTACAATGTTGACTGAAATTGTTTTCAAATTATTTTATATGACAAATGGATATAAAAAAAATTCAAATTAAAATACTACATCAAAAATTTACAAAACTAGTAGTGACAATAGTACTTTATTTTGTCAAATTCTTAACGAAAATAGAGAAAGAAAGTAAATGAAGTTTGACCATGTGAATAGTGAAGATATACTATAAATTGGGACGAAGGAAGTATTCCGTCCCAAAAAGAATGGGACGGTTTGACTTTTTGGGAAATTAAGGGAGAGATATTTTGGTATTGACTTTCCAAAAATACCTTTGATGTGAAGGGTAAAAGTAAGATGTGATGGGTAGATTATTAGAAAAAAGGTATGATGTGATAGGTAGGGTATGAAAAAGTAAGGCGTAAAAGTGGTTTTTTAATAAAAATGTAACGAACTTTACGGGACGCAGTTTTTTCTAAACGTAACAAACTTTTTGGGACGGATGGAGTATATTTTAGTGTAATTAGAAAAACTATTGATCAATGACATTATAATAATTATCAAAGAAGCTTGGTGGTACAGAGTGCACGCTTCATTGATAAATTTATTATGATAAAAGTCCCATTCTAACGAGTGTTTCAAGGGAACACTACCCCCTTGACGAGGGTTCGGGGGTAGCACCCCCGAGTAGGGTGCAAGGGGTGGCGGCCCCTGCAGGGTCCAAGGGGCATAGCCCTGACTGAAAGTTTTTATTTTGGATAAAATGTCATGTTAATAAATTCACTTGAATTTTTAATTTTCGCAATCTGTGTATAAACAAATTTCCAAAAAAAAAAAGTCACTTCTAAGTTTCGCGTGATTATACACGAGTTTTAGAGTAGAAGATGCGATTGCACATCTCTTCTCTCCGCTTCTATAAAACTCCAACAAAGTTTGGTCGAAAAGGACAGTTTGGACGATTCATCGGAAAAAAACATATTTGTTCTTGATCTACAAAGTTTGAGTTTTATCCGATAGATTTTGGAGCGAACGTCCAAGTAATTAATCAAAAAATGTTTGCACGACTCTCAAACAAATCCGTGTTATCTTCGTTCTTCCCCAACAGAAAATACTTTCCTCCATCACCTTTTAGATGGGCCTTGCTTTTGGGTTGCGAAATCCCTCAAGCCAATATTATGTGGGCTCATGTGTCACTTCCGGACTAGGCTGCTGCAGTCCCACTCATGCGGGCCTCTCCTAATGGGCAGGACTTGAGTATGACATCTTGAACTTAAATATAATCAAATTGTATCGACTTAGGAGCGGTCTAGAGGGTGTGTATCGGGCCTCATTTTTAATAGGGCTCAAATAGTTTTTTTATAGATATTTATCGTTCTAACTATGTCATATTTTTTAAATGTATACATATTTGCATTTTATTCGTAAAAATTTTGCATAATTGATCGTAAAAACTAATTTAGCATTTATTTCAAAACATTAATAGTCCACACTTGACCAAATATACAATTTGTTGTAGTGAATCATGTTTGTCGATCAATGTATGCATGTACCAATTGAACAATATTTTCATTCTTCGGAATAGGTTCTGCAATACATTAAAGGTACACTTGACCAGGGATTAAAGGCACACCTGACTAGGGTTGGATGTTTTGAGAAGGCCCTGTGGTGTTACAGGTCTATTATGACTTTGATTGGGCAAATGATATATGACAGATGGCCGCTCCATTATTGAGTACCTTAGGTCCTAATCTTATTTTTGAAGTACAGAGAAACAGAGTCGAGTCTTAAAATCACCCACCGAGGCAGGGTATCATGCCCTTTCATCTGCAGCTTCTGAAGTAATGTGGCTCTCTTATGTTTTTTTTTAACATTCTACGAATCGAGCTACCTCCTCCACATATGTTCTATGATACTCCCTCCGTCCCCCATAGATCTTCCCATTAGCTCTTTTTATTTGTCCCACATAGATCTTCTCATTACCTTTTTTAACATTTAAAATATCACAACTACCCCCACTTACTTTATTTATTACACCTTTTCCACCTTGTTTAATACACCCCACCCATTTTCATTAAGAGTATTTTGGTAAACTTTCACCTTTTTTCAACTCTCCTTAAAAACCGCAAAAAATCAAAACGAGAAGATCTTAGGGGGACGAAGGGAGTATATAATCAGTCAGCGACTAATTAAGAATATAATCTTATGTTACAAGCGCATGACGCATGTTGGTTCTGAGTGTCATTTTGTCCAGGAACAAGTATTTGCTGAGACACTATCTCATATGTTTCTTTTGCTGACTTGTTAGCCGGCCTACTCCCCAAGGCACTACCATCTCCTTGATATATATACAACTCCTGTTTCATGTCGTTCATTTTGATGGGGGACGTTGAGCAGTAATATATATATAGTGTTCTTATCACTTATGACAATATTCGATTATGATTTTGTATTCACTATTGTATTGTTTAGAATCCTTGACTAAATACATTATTTCATTATCCAACAAGATACATACTTAATTCCTCCATTCCTAAATAAAATAGATGTGAACACAATATATAATATTTCTCCACATTCAATCAAAATGTAATGTATCAAAAACAATTATAATACTCCCTCCGTCCCTCATAGATCTTCTCAATAGCCCTTTTTCTTTGTCCACAATAGATCTTCTCATTTCATTTTCTAACAATTAAAATACCACAACTACCCCCACTTACTTTATTTATTACACCTCACCCACCTCATTTAATGAACTCCACCCATTTTTCATTAGGGGTATTATGGTAAACTTTCACCTTTTTTCAACTCTCCTTAAAAACCACCAAAAGTCAAAATGAGAACATCTTAGGGGGACGGAGGGAGTAATAGCCTAGACACTTAAGAAATAGAGAGAGTATATGATAAAACTTAAATACATGCAAGATAAAGTAGCTAGTGCTTATAATAATAAGTGTGCTTGAAATTAGTAGCTAAGCTAGAAATAATTAAACTTCTCTCAACTTAAACCATAATTATTACAAAGTCCAATAAGATGAAACAAGCTAGCACCCACAAAAGTGTTTAAATCATTTAAAGACATAAACATTATAAGTACGTGGTTTAATTTGTTACCAATGATACATGATAATGCATGCAATAAATTAAAATATTCAAGCTGAGCTTCCATATTTCAATTATAATTAATTTAATAATTCTGAGTCGAGAGAGCCTGTGGATACGCATCAATGCGGTCGACCCAAGGGTTCCTCCCTCCTCCCGCCGCCGCCGGCTTCTTGACGCGGCGGACCGCCTTCCACACGGCGCTGTTACACTTGAGCCCGGACCCGAAGGCGATCTGCCAGACGCGGTCCCCGCGTTTGACGATCCCCTTGGCCTCCATGTACGCGAGCTCGTACCAGATGCTGCTGCTGGAGGTGTTGCCGAAGCGGTGGAGGGTGGCGCGCGACGCCTCCATGTTGGCGTCGGTGAGGCCGAGGTTGCGCTGGAGCTCGTCGAGGACCATCTTCCCCGCGGCGTGGACGCAGAAGTGGTCGAAGGCGAGCTTGTAGTCGGGGATGTAGGGCTTGTTCGGGGATTTGTTGTTGTTCTTGTCGTCCCCGTTTCCGCGGTGGAAGACGCGGGAGAAGACGAGGTTGGCGAAGAAGATGAGCTGCTCGGAGAGGGGGAGGACGAGCGGTCCGAGGGTCGTGATGTTCGTCTTCAGGGCGTCGCCGCCGACCTGTATCAACTCTTTGCTAACCCTCAGCCCCTTGTGCCGCTCTGCATCTTCGTCCTGGTACACGCACCTGTAATATCAAAAGTCTTACAAAACAAGTGACGACCATAAAAAAATATTTAAAATGAAAAAAAGGAAACTTTGTTTTCTTGAATGTGAGGCCGCCGGCCGGGTAGAAATGGTCATGATGATGAATGAATAAATGCGAGGGATCAATTAACATGGCGTGGCGTGGGGTACCCTATGGCAGACAGAGGTTATAAATTAGGGCAGTTGGTAGGTGGATTAATTTAATCTGTAAGCCTCAATAAATTAATATGGCTGTCACACCTCACACAGTCACACCACTTGCTATTCTTTTCTTTTTTAAAAAAAAAAAAAAAAAATTAAATCTCCACAGCCACCATCTACTTTCTCCTCCTAGCAAGTACTTTGAGAAAATTGTTTAACTTTTGCAATATCTAATGACAAAGCTAGATTTATAATAAGGAGAATTTACTTAAATAGTACTAAAACATAATTAATTTTTCTAAATAACATTATATGTGTTCTTTTTTCAATGTATCACTTTTAGTCATTATTCATTAATCATTATTCAAGTAAATATTTGCCACCAATGGACATTATTAAGTGTTATTTAGAAAGTAAAACAGTTTAGGTTCTATTTAAAGAAATTACTTCATTTGTAGTGTTATTTAATGCAACTATTCCATTTAATAACAATAAAAAATATCATAAAAAATTATTTTGGAACAAAATTATTTTTATAATTCAGTCAAAGAATATCAATTGGCAAAAACAATTGAAACAAAAAGTTTTCCGAGACAAAGGTAACATGAAATATGAATATCTTCAAATAATATTAATATATGACACTTTTGCAATGAAGAATTCTAATGAGGAATGTTAGGTCGAGCTTCATCCTACAAAGTACTTTATCTATTATACCTCCAATAGTATTTTGACACGTTTGTAAAATCACTTCTTTTTGTTATTCCTAACGTTCAAAGGATTGAAATTTTAGATAGTAAAAAATCACCATAACACTTTAACCATTAATACACTACTTATATGTATATATAGAATATAAAAACATGATATTCTAAAACTGGGTTTCAAAATGGACGTGGTAATATTAAACTTATATCACAATTTAATATTTTT